ATTGATAAAATTTTTGTAACTATAAACCAAAAATATAAACATTATCAAACGCTACTTAAATATTTTTTCATTTGTTAAATTTTATGAAAAATCTGTGAACCTATACTATTGTCTTCACCTTCATTATTGTGCCAGACCTGTCCATTTCACCCATGAAGTGGAAATACCATCAATAATATTAGTGTGGCTATTCATTGATGTGTTTGACATTGAAATGACCACATTACCCCTCTTTCAGAGAATACTAAATTCATATGTTAGAAAAAAATGAAAAGGACAACATTGTAATTTAACTCATGTTCTGCAGAGCCATCAGTCTTCTGAAAAATCTCAGTTGGTCAGCTTTCGATAAAAGGAAGAAAAAAAAGCCAAAAAAGTTGTTCAGTTTTCGATAAAAGAGGAAAAAAAAAAAAGCCAAAACTTAGCAGTGTGTTTTTTGACCATTTGTTTGACTGAGGCTTTATATCACTCTGCTAACCAACAATGTCACGATCTAACCTCAGGGGCTTAGGGTTGGAATTGCAACTTACTAATTGATTCTAAGCTTAATAAATTAAATGGCACAGGCGAAGGCAAAATGGAAGTAAGAAAATAATTAAGCAGAAAATTTACTTCATTCGACTATTTTAATAAAAGAAGGTACATCTATGGAGCTTTTATTATTTTATTATTCAGTGACCGACCATCAGTAAAAAACAAAAGAAAGAAAAGGAAAGGAAAAAAAAAAACACAAAATAACGGATTAGCATCAAATTCTTATACGAGTTCTACTACACGAGGTTACAGGTCTTCCTTACATCTCATCACCTGAAAGGGTAACAATTATAAGCACACAGTAAAATGAGAAATATTATGCCAAGAGTATAGGAAACACAAAAATAACCATGGATGGTTAGTTAAGCTAAAACATTTACATAATTTGAATAAATAAATTATTTAAGTGGCAGAAACTGAAATACAAAAATTACCTAAGTAAATAACCATAACCACGGTACAAAACAGAACAGAGCACAGGTCACATGAGTGACAGTCAGAACAGAGGTCAATAGACCCATGACAAACAGAGGACCACAAAGTGGTCAAACGGAGGCCAATGGTTATTTAAATCCCTCAAGGCATAGGATTCTCGTAGTGGTACTTACAAAACATAATTGGTTTTAAAATCATTGTCAAATATTTTCTAAAAGTTAAACAAACATATTCATGGGTCTCAATTTAAGCAAATAGAGTTTAGAAAATAATTAATGTAATCAAAATATTAATATAATTTATAAAACATAGATTGCGTAAAATAAATTATGGTAACCCAAAATATACGTAAAATATATTATGGTGACTCAAGATATAATATAACTCACCTTAATATTGACCCTTAACTTTTACTTTTCACTATCACAAATTTTCTTACTTCTAAGTTTCCTATCTTCAGCACTCCTACGTGATCTTTTTTTTTTTTTTCACCTCCTCCTTACTTACTTCCACAGTCCCCTCCCCTCTATATAGACACTCTTGGGTGATGACTGACTCAAGGTATAATATAACTCACCTTAATATTGACCCTTAGCTTTTACTTTTCACTATCACAAATCTTCTTACTTCTAAGTTTCCTAACTCCAGCACTTCTACGTGATCTTTCTTTTTTTTTTTTCGTTCGTTTCACTTCCTCCTTACTTACTTCCGCAGTCCCCTCCCCTCTATATAGACACTCTTGGGTGATGACTTACCTTGTGTGATGATGAATCAACTTGATGACTCACCTCCCCTACCAACTAGACGGTACACATGGCTTACTTACCATCTCTCTAGGAAATTTGCAAATCTTCTCCTTAATTACTGTACAGCACACATGGTTTACATACCATCTCTCTAGGAAATTTACAAATCTTCTCCTTAATTGTTGTTTATTATTGTTATTACTATTATTATTTATTTACTCTTACTTTTATATTTATTTATTTAACTTTTGGTGTTGTTTTATCTTGGTCCAATTCTTCAAATTATTATATACTATTTATTTATTTATTTTAATAATATATTATCACATACAACCATAATTATATTTATATATTTATGTAGTATTTAATTAAACTATTAGGGTGCCATAAACAACTTCACTTCACAACTTTCAGCAACACCATCTTCAACAACTTCATTACTTCACAACTTTTACTAACTTCTTCACCATCTTCATTGAAAATTCATTATTCAAATAGTATCAATACAACCAGATCATAGACCCGAATGATACTACCACCTCCTCCACCACCTACCTCAATTAATTTCACAACAAATTAATTTCAAAAATTCAGTCTATATTTTTACAATTCATATCAGTATAAAACAAGAGACGAAGAGCTTTGATCAAAGGTTCTTTCAAAGCTGTTCACAATTTCAGAGCTGTAGAAGTAAGCCGAAAAGTTCACCAAACAGGTTGACCTGGCGGTCAACCGATGGGTCATTCGGCAGGTCAACCGGCTTCGCCTGTTCCAGCTTCCAGCAAGACTCAACCCGAGGTTGAGCTTTGGCAATCTGTTGCTTACCTTTTGCACACCATTTTCATATATTTTGTTATACATTTTTCATACATTTTTGTTACCTTTTGCTATCCTTTTGTTTACGTTCATAAGTCATGCGAAGAACAAAAAGAGCCAGACCAAAATGTGGCCAAACCTCTAACCCTCCACCACGCCAACAAGAGCAGACCTATCTAACTATTGATTTTCTCACATACAATCATAAACAAGCTTATCCAAATTTTGCCAACCGACCAATTGTTACCGGGAGAAGGGTAAATATACCTTCTTAATATGATCTTTTGTTGGTTGGTAGACTGGAGACGATAGGATGGCTACCTTTAATCAATTTACCACAAAAGGTATATCCACGTCTTGTGTATTTATTTTACCTTCACTTGAGACCTACTGAGGGAGAAGTTGGAGAGAATAGTTTGATATCTTATGTCAAAGGTAAACTAATCACACTGAACCCTCACACTTTGGCACAAATTATTGGAGTTTAGTCAGGGGATTTGCAAAGTCATTTTCAGAGTGAGTCTGACCTAGTTAACATTGTTAATGATGTAAGTGAGTTTTATACTACAATTTGTGAGAACCGATTTCCCAGCACTAATTTCAAGCAAGACATTTGAAACCCCACCTTCGTATTCTTCATCAATGGATAGTCGAAAATGTCACTCCCAAAAAAGGACATTTTGATGTTGTTTTATTTTATAATGTTTATTTGTTATATTTTTTTGAAGTTGGACAAACATTAGATTTATGCTACATAATACTGAAGGAAATGGTGGTTGCAAATCTTGGTACTCTCAGTGGCCATCACTACCTTTTGGAGCTCTGCTAACCAAAATTTTTCAAAGCTTATCATGTCAGCCTTACAGGTGAAGTGGATATGAAAATCACTTCACCAATTTTAGAGTATACACTGACCCGAGCTGGTAGCGCTGACAACTTATTGGGATCTATTAATGTTGCAAATGCACCAATAGCTGATGATCCCGAAGACCCCAATGACAATGCCATGCCACCAAATCAACAACTCCAATACTGGACTGATTATTTGGTGCTGGAACAAGAACGACACAATCAGCGCGTACAATGGGAACAACAAATGGCTAATTAGTTTAATGCATTGGGTAATCGGTTCGACGCATTTGTCGCAACTCAGAACTCACTAATTCAACAACTTGGTGAGTTTCGTATAGACACTGAAAGACGTGATGAAGTGGCAAGCAACCGCATTGATCAGATTGACCATCGAGTGACTTAGGTCTACCATCACTACTTCTTTCTACCTCTACCACCACCTGACAATGACGCTTAATTTGTTTCAATGAGCGATTAAATGGTTGACGCATGTTGTGATTTTTAGTTGTGTTGCAAATGTACTCGTACTTTTTGTTCTTATTTATTTGTTTCCTTTTTTTTCTTTGATAATTTTTTGGTTCATGGATGTAAGCACCATTTGTCGTTGCATTTTGTTTGTGTATTTTTTTTTTCCGTATAATTTACGGTTGTTTGTTTTTATTTTTAAATGATGCACCTATCTATTTATTTTATTTTGTTTTTATTTTATTTTCGTTTTTTTTTTCAAAAAAAAATTGATTTTTCAAAATTACCCTTTGATAGTACATTTTTTGAGAAATATCAATGTCACAATTGTACTTTTTATGTTGTTAATGAATTTAAAAGAAGGGCAAAATAGAAAATTTATATTATTTTTGTACTTGATTTCTGAAAATGGACTAACATTTTAGGATAATGAAAAATGGAATAAGGGACTAATATTTCAGGACAAAGGAAGTAGTAACTATATACCAGTTATAAAATATTCAATAAATTAATACTATCACTAACACTATTAGTAAAATTTTTAGTAAAATAACAGTTATAACAAAAAAAATATTAAATAAGAAAATATTCAGTAAAATTTAAATTGAATTAAATGTAACAAAAATAACTATTAGTATTTTACTCATTAATTTTTCATGGAAAGTTTCTAAAAATATGTAACTTGTGCATAGCACCTAATTATAGGTATGAGAATGTATGTCTGGTTTATAAGTTGGTACTGCATTTGATACTACTTAACCATTCGGAATAAGTCACTTTTATTATTATTATTATTAAATATACAACAAAAATATGTCTACAATCATATTTTTTCCCTAAATTATGGTTGGTTTTTAGAACACCAACGAGACAGATGAATTTTAAAATGTTTTTTTTAATATTTTTGTTTTACTGAAAGGTTAAATTAATCCACCGTTACCAAATTTCAAGAATTGACAAAAGTAGTTACATAATTGTCCTACTTTTTTGGCAAAAAGAAATGCTCTTCGTAGTTGAAGATTAAAATTAGATAACACTTTTAAAGAGTATGGTTCAAACTGCATTTGCATTGTACACATTTAAAAAAAAAAAAAGGAATGTAATAATACATACAATACTACGAAATTCACATTATTTCTTCAAATCACAAATCTACCCATGGCCAACATGATTTTGCCACATAGCAATAGCAATTGCATCTTTGAAGTTCGATTGGTACGTCAACCCATGTTGTGACATGTCAACATAGTCAACTTGGCCTCCAACAAACCCGTCTGCTGCCGTTTCTGCCGCCATTTCATTATCAGCTTCTATGAAGAATGGATTCATAGCTGCATGCAAACGGATCCAATTGTGCACTACACAACAGGTAATCACGAGGGGTCCTTGTCTTGTGGACATGTAATTTGGCATGGACTGCAATATTTGAAAGCGCTTCTTCAGAGCACCAAATGTTCTTTCTATGACATTGTGTAACGACAAATGTCAATGGTTGAACGATTCATTGGGTCTAGAATAATGACAGCCATAAAACTCTTGCAAGTGATAGCATTGGGAACAAAATGGGGCAAGAAATCCAAGCATGTTCTTGAAGCCAACATCTACTAAATAATACTTGCTTACATGTAAATAATGTCGACAATGTTCTGTCAAATACATGTACACAAAAATCAACATTTAAGACAGTACAGTATGTTATTTGGTGACACTCACCATGGGGTGGGTGTGGAAAATGTAGATCAGCTCTTGTAATTGAGTCAACTAAAATTGTGTTGTCGTGGGTGCTACCTTCCCATCCAGAATTGATAAATGTGAACAACATGTCGAAGTCGCAAACTGCGAGTACATTTTGCGATACCGTAGCTTTGCGACCACGGAATATATTTTGTCTTGAGGCAGAGACCCATGCATCTACCAATGTGCCATCGATAGCACCGACACATTCCTACTTGAAATATATTAGTTTGACATTAAACGCAAAACAAACCTAGATATTACTTTTAAAACATTAAAAAAAATAATAATAATTTGTTACTGTTATTGAAAACTTACAGGACAAACATGTAGTCGTACCTTGAACCAAGGAAAAAATCTCATATCATTTAAAATTTTTGCCAGTATCTCATCTTGGTTACGTGGTTTGATAACCGTTGATGCAAGCTTGCACAGTACTTGTGTAATGATTTTGATGTGCCAACAAATAGTTTCAGTGAAGTGTTGAAATCTATCGGCTAGTAGTCTATGCCGGTCATTTTGTGAGAAAGTGTACAAAAAAATGCCAAGCGATTCCTCAACACTGATATACATATGTTCAATTTCGACAAAGCCATTTTAAAGTAAGGTGTCTTTCAATAAAATGAATGTTTGGGCATCCATTCCCATGATGTCCATCATTATTTCTGGATGGCCATTTTATAAACTGAAGGTGTAATCATCACCTTTAAATGGACAAGTTTGCTGCGATTGTATGTTGTTGATGCATTCATATGCTCATTCATAAAAACAATCATCAAAAAATTCATAAAATCTTCAATAACCTCATCCTCCTTTGATGACCTCTCTATTGCATTATTTTCTGTGTCAGATGACATATTGTTTTAACTACATCACAATAACACATAATTATAAAAAAAAATGATTAACAACATGCTAACTGTTACCATTATTGGTGAAACTAAAATTAACCACTGGCTACAATTTGTCGGTCTTAGTCATTTATCGAACTAAATGAAAATATACATGCGAAGAAAAAACATATTAATATTTAGTCATATTGTCATTACTACCTTTTCATATTGTATGCTGTGTGTAAAATTGAAAGTTGAAGCAGAAATAAGAAAACATACATGAAAGAACGCAGAAAAATAAAAGCATATCTAAATGTAAAACATAAACACTTTTAGAAAAATATAGAAATAAACATAAAAAGATGGATAAAAAAGAGCATGTCATCAGGTGAAAAAAAAATTAATAAAAACAAAAGAGAACCGCAAGTTTGATCAAGCCACAACTTCTCCCTTCACTGTAAAGCTATGATCATAGCTAGGTGCATATGGGCAGGAGTACGAATAAAAAACCTCCGCCATTCCTTGTCTTTAAATAGTGTCAGTGCCCTAATGAATTGGACCGGTGGTATGTCCCCAAGCTCTAACAGGGCATCTTGACATGCATCAAGGGAATAGTCATCACCACCTACACTTACAGCCTCTGTGTCTGTTGATCGGTGTAACAACCCTCACCACTGTTTACTGATAAACTACTAATTACTGCTAAATTGAGACTGATTTTGATAAGTAATTGAATCGACTGAAATACTGAACTGACTGACTGAAATCTGGAACTGAATTGATTGAGTACATTTGTTTAATTGTATGTCTATCTGTTGCCTGTTTGATTATCGGTTTGTGTATTTATGTTTAAACTGCAAATTGAAGGCCTTATCGGCGGCCGAATCTGAAATTAATTAATGTTCTATGATCCTTAGAATTTATACGATTTTATGGCATATTTATCTGAAATGTGATTTAATATGATTAAATTATATTAAAATAAGCTAAATTGCATGAGTTGGTTTATTCACCATTTTGCCACCACTAGTGGGCCACTAGCTTAGCACTTTTGAGACTCATTCCTTTGTATCAAAACACATTTCATTAGCCATTTTGTTGAGCTCAACCGAACTAGAGAGAGAGAGAGTTAGGAGAGAGTGTGATTTCATCTCTAATTGGCTTGGAAACTTGGTAGAAGTGAAGGAATTGAAGAGTAATTTGCAAACTTGAGCTTATATTCTCATAATTGAAGACATAAGGTAGAGCTCTTACCTTCTTAGTCATGAATTGAAGTATTTCTTGCATGATTTAGAGGATTGTTGAAGATTGGAGCCAAGATATGGCTTATAATGTTGATTGGAAGCTCATTTCATGCATGCATGTTTACATCCTTGAGTTTTGATGTTGTTATTCATGAAAGTGTACGTGCATGTTCATATTTTTACAATGGACCATGATTTCACCTTGTTTTGAAAAGAATCGGCTCATTAGAGCATGTATTGAAGTTTTGAATTGATTTAAACTCATGCATGTTTGCATGTTCATCATGTTCATGAAAATTGGTTTGAAATTGAGTGTTTGAAACACCCTTGGGCTTTGATTTTACAATTGAGCTTTGGAATCATGTTAAATTATGAGTTTTGGAATGTTTTCTGGAAAATTGGCCCAAGAGGATCGGAATTTGTGCATTTGAACTTGGTTTTGAGCTTGGAAGTTCAAATCTAGAAATTCCAGATTTTGAACTCTCGCTCGAGCGGGGAAAGTGGCGCTCGAGCGGGAAATTCGTGCTCCCAGTACTTCGCACTATTTTGACGTCCGCTCGAGCGGAATAATTAATGCTCAAGCGGGACCTTATGTATTACGCTCGAGTGGCTATCGAGCACCCATTGAGCGTGATTTTCACCTATCCAGTACTTTTGCCCTGTTTTACAGAACGCTCAAGCGGGAAAGTATACGCTCGAGCGGATACCTTTGTTTTCATGTCCGCTCGAGCGGGGAAACCTACGCTCAAGCGGGACCTCTGTTTTCTGAAAAATGTTTTAAAGTGCATCTTTGCATCCTTATTTCATCCTAGGCATTCTTAGGCCTAGTTTAAGGCATCTTAATGAGGATATAGATGTAGAACACACCGAGGCAAATTAGGAATTAAGTTATTATCTTTCTCAACTGTGTAGCTTAGTGTGTGTTTGTCCTGTAAACTGTGTAGGGTTGGCGACTGGAGATGCGCTCTAGCTTAACTGTAGCCCAGAACTCTGTGAGTAACAATTGTGTAAAGATATGTTCAAAGATGAATATTTTCTGACTGTTAGCTGAACTGCTTTCTGAACTGTTACTGTC